CTTATTCACCCGGACTTTGGGATGATTTTGTCCAAACTGTGAACAAGAGTGGTTTGCACAGCCCCCTACAGATAGGTAATCCCGCAGCTCGGCGTCTTGTGAGTTAAAAGCTCTGACACGCGGCTTTAAGTGCACACTGCTGAAAGCGTTTTCGGAGGCCACCGTGTCGTTTCTGGCTTGGGGATTATTATTTCCTCCGCGCTTTCCTCTTGATCGTCATCTACTTGCTTTACCCAGGCGCCCGGAGCAGGACCCGCATCTTTCTGCCCGGCTTCTGCCCCTTCTTCCCTCCTGCGCAGCCTCGCGTTTGAACACGAATGTGTGCGTGTAAGTGTGCGTGAACACGCGTGCGAACGTACATACGTCTAGATGTGTGTACGGCTGGGCGCGTGTGTGAACACACGCGCGAACGTACATACGTCTCGATGTGGGTACGGCTGTGCGCGCGTACGTGTGCGTGAACATGCGCGTGAACGTACGTACATCTCGATGTGTGTACGGCTGGGCGCGCGTATGTGTGTATGAAGATGCACGCGAACGTACGTACATCTCGTGTGTACTGCGGGCCGTGCGTACGTGTGCGTAAACGCGCGCGAACGTCCGTCTGTCTAGACGTGTGTACGGCTGTGCGCACGTACGTATACGTGAAGACGTGCGTGAACGTACATACGTTTCGACGTGTGTACGGCTGGGCGTGCGTACGTGTGTGTGAACACGCGTGCGAACGTACATAAGTCTAGATGTGTGTACGGCTGTGCATGTATGTGAGCACGTGTGCGAACGTATGTACGTCTAGACGTGTGCACGGCTGGGTGCTTGTACGTGAACACGCGCACGAACGTACGTACGTCTAGACGTGTGTACAGCTGGACGCACGTACGTGAACACGCGCGCGAAGGTACGTACGTCAAGTCGTGTGTACGTCAAGTCGTGTGTACGTGTGTATTGAGTCCTGCGTTCCAGCACGGCCACGCACAGACCTCTCCCTCTCCCCATTTTCGTCACCGCCGCGGGTGCTAGGTTTGCAGATGCTGGCTCCCAAGCAGACGACAACGTGCTGTGTAGGCCTCCCTGCAAACTCTGCTTTCCTCTGGGCACCTGGGCTCAGCGTCTCCAAAACGCACGCAGCTGCCTGTGGCGTCCCTGCTTCTCCGGTGCTGGCCTTTGCCAGACGTTCACGAGATCGCAGGGGCCACCGTGCACCGGAAATGCTGTGTTCCGGCAGGCCGCGGAGGCGTTACCTGACCTTTCCACCCGCGTCCACACTGGACACAGGGATGACGCTCCAGCATTAAGGAGCCCTCCCTGAGACGCAGATAGTGTTGGGTTTTTTTTTTAAGTGTTTGTGTGTTTTTGAGAGAGAGACAGAGCTGGAGTGGGGGAAGGGCAGCGAGAGAGGGAGACACAGAATCCAAAGCAGGTTCCAGAACCGAGCTGTCTGCACAGAGCCTGATGCAGGGCTGGAACTCATGAACCACGAGATCATGACCTGGGCCGAAGCCTGACGCTCAACCGACTGAGCCCCCCGGGTGCCCCTAGTATCACTACTATTAACACTATGCAATTATTCAACGTGTAAGGACATAAACGTAGATAAGTATAAATGGAGCAAGTACCATTTATCATGCTGTGTCTAATTTACAATATGGTACGTGTTAGCGGTAACACTACAATTATTACCAGTCATACAATTCAACGCTTGTTAACCTCAAGAGGCCCCGGGATGCTAACTCAGTTGTCTGAGGCTTCCCTGGTAAAAACTCCGCACCCAGGATCCAATTCCCTTTCACCATGACATGATACAGCGTCATGAAATAATGGGAAATATGTGTACTGCTCTCTGCTCCCAGGTACAGGCACTGGGTTTCTAAAGCCCCCGAAACGTCCTAACTAATAAGATCACTAGGCGTATCTTTGTTCTTTAAATTTTTTTAAATGTTTATTTATTTTGGAGAGACAGAGCACGAGCAGGGGAGGGGCAGAAAGAGGAGACAGAATCGGAAGCAGGCTCCAGGCTCCGAGCTGTCCGCATAGAGCCCAACGTGGGGCTTGAACTGCATGAACCGTGAGATCATGACCTGAGCCGAAGTCGGACGCCCAACCGACTGAGCCACCCAGGTGCCCCTGGAGCATCTTTGTTTCTAGTGTTTGGTCTCTGAGCCTGCTTCCTCACATACCTCCTACATTCCTTGTTGTTCCCTGGGTGACAGGAGCATCTTCTGCTCTATGGAGACAATGCTGGAGGCTGGTCAGCAGCAAGTCCAAGCCACGCTGGCAACCTCGGAGCTTTGATTGCATCCCCATTGTGTAGTCAGGGGACCAGGGCTGGCAGAGGAGTTGATACGTCATGCGTCCCTCATGAAGGCTTCACCGCAATCCCGAGTACGCATGTCCTGAGAGGTTCTCGACTGTGGAGCCCGTCAAGGGGCCAGGAGAATGGCACACTGGAGGGGGGGCAGCTCCACGCCCTTCCCTGCACACCTGGCCCTACACGTCTGTTCCTTGTGGATGTTCCTATGTGTCCTTTGTCATATCCTTTTACAATACGCCAGGGAGCAGTAAGTAAACTGTTTTCCTGAGCTCTGGGAGCAAATCAGTGGAACCCAAGAGGGGGTCATGGGACCAGGTGACCACAGAGACTTGGGAGTGGCATTGAGGTCGGGGTTGGGGACAGGCCTGTGGGACTGAGCCCCTTCTCTTTTAAATACAACCAGTACAGAGGGGCGCCTGGGTGGCGCAGTCGGTTAAGCGTCCGACTTCCTCTCATGTCATGATCTCGCGAGATCTCGCGTGATCTCGCGTGAGTTCGAGCCCCGCGTCGGGCTCTGGGCTGATGGCTCGGAGCCTGGAGCCTGTTTCCGATTCTGTGTCTCCCTCTCTCTCTGTCTCTGCCCTTCCCCCGTTCACGCTCTGTCTCTCTCTGTACCAAAAAAAAAAAAAAAAAGTTGAAAAAAAAATTTTTTAAATACAACCAGTACACTATGTGCCGTTAGTTTCGGGGAATACACGATGTCCTGTTAGCCTGTTAGTTTCGGTTGAATGCACAACGTGTGTCCTGTTAGTTTCAGGTGTACATCATAGTGATTCTATATTTTTATCTATTACAAAATGATCCCCACGATAGGTGCGGTTTCCATCTATCACCATGCAGTCATTACACGATGTTTGACTGTATTCCCCATGTGGGACCACTTGTCTATCTCATAACTGAACTTTCTACCTCTGAACCCTCTTCATCTGTTTCGCTCCACCCACCTCCCCTCTGGTGACCACCAGTTCTCTGTATTTAAATTTTTGTAAATATTTATTTATTTGGAGAGAGAGAGAGACAGAGAGCAGGGCACAGTCAGGCAGAGACAGAGAGAGAGAATCCCAAGCAGGCTCTGCGCTGTGGGCATAGTGCCTGACACAGGGCTCGATCCCACGAACTGTGAGATCATGACCTGAGCTGAAATCAGCAGGCAGACCCTTAACTGACTGGCCCATCCAGGCGCCCCTCTGTTCTCTGTATTTAAGAGTCTGTTTCCTTTGTTTTCTCTTCTCTTTCCGAAATTCCACATATAAAGGAAATTCTATAATATCTGTCTTTGTCTGACTTTGCATAACACCATGTAGTCTGTCCATGTTTTCGCAAATGGCAAGATTTCTTCTTTTTTTTGGTTAGTTTTTTAGTGTTTATTTTTGAGAGAGAGAGAGAGAGACAAGAGTGTGAGCAGGGGAGGGGCAGAGAGAGAGAGAGGGAAACAGAATCTGAAACAGGCTCCAGGCTCTGAGCTGTCAGCACAGAGCCCGACACGGGGCTTGAACCCACGAACAGTGAGATCATGATCTGAGCTGAAGTCGGCCGCTTCACCGACTGAGCCACCCAGGCACCCCTCTTCTTGGTTTTCTTCTCCTTCTTCTTCTCTTTCTCCCCCTCCTTCTCCTCCTCCTCCTCCTCTTCCTTCTTTTTGATGGCCAGGAAGCATTTTGTTATGTATGCCACATCTCTACCCATTCAGGTACAGATGGGCACTTGGGTTCCTTCTGTATCTTGGCTGTTGTAAATAATGGTGCAGTGAACATAGGGGTACAGATGTTGTTTTGAACTAGCGTTTTTGTTTTTTCAGATTAATACTCACAAGTAGGATTGCTGGACTGTGTAGACATCCTGTTCTTTTTTAAGAACCTCCATACTGTTTTCCACAGCGGCTGCACCAGTTTGCATTCCCACCAACGGTGCACGAGGGTTCTGTTTTCTCCACATCTTCACCAACACTTGTTAACATTTTTGGTGACAGCCAGTCTGACTGGTGTGAGCTGCTGTGTCCTTGCACTTTGGGACTGCCCATTACCTGTGGGACCTGCCTCTGTATACGCTGTCCGAATTGAGTTGAACTGTGGGATCCCGGCTCGTGTCACGGACTTGTGTGCTGTGGGAAAGACCCCCTCCACACCCACGCACACAGCAGGCGTCAGAAGCGCTGAGACGCGCAGCGTGAGAACGGAGGGGAAACATGGGCCTGTGCAGGCTATTCCGTTCTCATGCGGGAGCTTCTCAGTGGCCCCCATGGCCAGGCTCCCCTGCAGTGAGGACACACCCAGGGACAGTGGGCGTGTCCCCCCTCCTGCAGAGGGCCGTTCACACAACCCTCACGTTCTGCCCTCTAGAGGCAGCTTCAGTCCCAGGGACGGTGTCACGTGATAGCACACAGACGTCACCACCCCATGTGCACATTTCGGCCCAAATACACACACGTTTATGTCGGAGACCATTTAACCACAACGAGGGCTTACTTCCGTTCCCGTGTTGTCACTTTCCAGATCACGGCTGCAAAGACGCTCCAGCAAACAGACAGCAGGCAGCCAGGCCGTTGCTCCCGCGGCATGACCTGTGCGGTGTTCAGCACTTCCGTATCACTCCACATTGCTGGCCTACGCTGCACCCCACATGCTTGTCTGATAGAGTCCGTGTTCACGCAGCACGCACCCTAAGCATTGCCGTGTCTTTGTTCCTGCAGATACCGAACGGCTGTATTCGGTGGTGTTCCAAGAAATATGTGATCGCTACGGAAAGAAATACAGTTGGGACGTCAAGTCCCTTGTTATGGGGAAGAAGGCATCAGAGGCGGCACAGATCATAATAGACGTCCTGCAGCTCCCGATGACCAAAGAGGAGCTGCTGGAGGAAAGCCAGACGAAGTTGAAAGAGGTGTTCTCCACGGCCGCCCTGATGCCAGGTACCGCCCCCTCCCAGCTACGGGGTTACATGTGTGCGCGTTCGCAGTGTCGTTGTAAGTCACAGATGGCGGCCAGTGCAGGCCTTGGGTAGTGACGACTTCTGTCCCCAGACCTTCTCAGAAACAGCTCTTCTTGTTTGAGGCTCACAGGTCGTCCGGACAGAGTTTGCTCAATCACGTGCTACGATTCCATCTTGTCTTTTTAGGGGCTTTTAAAAATAACATACATTCCCTTCTTGAGGTTCAAAAATGTTTGAACAGTATTTGTTTCTTTTTTTTTTTTTTTTTAATATTTATTTATTTTTGAGGGAGAGAGACAGCACGGAAGCAGGGGAAGCTCAGGGAGACACAGGATCCAAAGCAGGCTCCAGGCTCTGAGCTGTCAGCACAGAGCCCGATGCGGGGCTCGAACTCCCCGACCGCGAGATCATGACCTGAGCTGAAGTCAGACGCTCAACCCACTGAGCCACCGAGGCACCCCTGTACCTTTTTTTTTTAAATAATTTTTTTAATGCTTATTTATTTTTGAGAGAGAGAGAGAGAGACAGAGTGTGAGCGGGGGAGGGGTATAGAGAGGGAGACACAGAGTCCGAAGCAGGCTCCAGGCTCTGAGCTGTCAGCACAGAGCCCAACGCGGGGCTCAAACCCACAAACCGTGAGATCATGACCTGAGCCAAAGTCAGACACCTAACTGACTGAGACACCCAGGCTCCCGTATTTCAATATTATCTAAGATTATATTCAAGACAGGATTGCTTCAGAGTTTAGTAGGTAGCCTTGCCTTTTCCTGTTCAAAACCAGGTACAGGATTGTTTCAGTGAATATTTAAACTTTAGCAAATTAATGCTAAACCAGCTAAATCTCGCCCAAGAAGCTTAAGTTTTTTTTTTTTAATTTTTTTTTTCAACGTTTTTATTTATCTATGGGACAGACAGAGACAGAGCATGAACGGGGGAGGGGCAGAGAGAGAGGGAGACACAGAATCGGAAACAGGCTCCAGGCTCTGAGCCATCCGCCCAGAGCCCGACGCGGGGCTCGAACTCCCGGACCGTGAGATCGTGACCTGGCTGAAGTCGGACGCTCAGCCGACTGCGCCACCCAGGCGCCCCAAGTTTTTTTTTTTTTTAAGTTAAAGGCATAATTCATTTTCAACATGTCTGTTTCTATGCCCTTCACCCCTTTCTTTACTTGTTTTCCTTTGAAAGCAAAGATAACTTTTCTCCCTTGGGGCTTGTTAGCTAAGGATCGATCAAAACTGAATTGCCTGCTGTTTCTTGCTCAAAGTGAGAAGGTCAAGAATGTTCTAGATTACAGGGCTGAAAGATGCTTAAAAATGGAGTGCTCTTTTAAGAGTCTTCCAGAAAGAAAGGTGAACACTCCATGTTTGGAAGACCTGATATGAGGGCAGAAAAAAAAATTGTAGTTACTGCAGTAATTTTGGGTTTAAAATTGTATCGATGGAATGCGTGGCTTTTTTTTTTTTTAAATATTTATACATATATCCAAAAGTGCAAATTGACTATTCCCTGGAACTAGAGAATTTCCTGTAAGGCTGTGCTAATCCTAGTGATGTGTCACATAGTAACCACGTGGGCTTTGCTTGGATGACACATATATCTGACCCTCAGGCGTGGGTACAAGCTCTGTCATACGCACCGTCTGTAACTTTGCACAGTGAGTTACCCTGACGAGCCTTAATGATGGAACACATCCAGGCAGTTCATTCGTATTAATCCTGGTAAGAGACACCCAGGATAAAAGTTACATGTCATCCGTCTGTAAGTGTCCAGTCTGGGGGTGTTAAGTAGGTTCACACTGTTGGGCCACGGTCCCCAGCAGCCATGTCTAAAACTTCTTCATCTTGTAGAACAGAATCTGTGTCCCCATGAACCACGAAGTCCCCATTCGGCCCTCCGTCCACCCCTGGAACCATGATTCTATGTTCTGTCTGTCTCTGTGCCTTGTGTCTGTGTGTATTCTAGGTACCTCATATAGGAGGACACACACAGGGTTTGTCCTTTCCTGACTGGCTTTTCGAACTTGGCATGACGTCCTCACCGGTTTTTCACGTTGCAGCATGTGACAGGATTTCCGCTCCCCCCAGCGCCCCCAGCCTTTTTGTGTGTGTGTGTGTGTGTTTATCCACGCATCTGGTGACACTCATTTGAGTTGTTTTCTCTCCGTGGCTATTGCAAATAATGCTGCTGTACACATTGGGGTACACCTATCTCTCTGAGACCATGATTTCGGTTTTTGTGGTTCTGTAGCCAGAAGTGGGATTGGCAGATTATATGGCAGTTCCGCGGTCAGTCTCCTGAGGAACCGCCAGACTGTTTTCCTGAGTGGCTGTACCATGCTGTCCTCCCTCTGACTGTCCACAACTGTTGCATTTTCACCAACACGTGTTGTTTTCTGTGGGTCTTGCTTGCTGTTGTTTGTAGCCACCCGAAGAAATGAGAGGTATCGACTCACTGTCCTTTTGATTCGCATGTCTCTGAGGATGACGGATGCAGGGCATCAGCTCATAGGCTTTAGCTACTTTCGTGTCTTCCGTGGAGAAATGTTTGTTTAGTCCTGTGCTCGTTTTTAAAACAGGGTTCACGTTGGGTTGTTGTTACATTGTAGGAGTCCTCTATGTGTTCTGGATAAACCCCTTATCAGATACGTGCTTTGCAAATTCTTACGTTTCCTGTTTCCTGGGTGGCGCTTTTCCCCATCTTGATTGTGTCCTTTGATGTGCAGAATTAAAAAATCCCTTTTAATGTTTGTCTCTTTTTGAGAGAGAGAGAAAGAGAGAGACAGGGTGCGAGCAGAGGAGCGGCAGAGAGAGGGAGACACAGAATCCGAAGCAGGCTCCAGGCTCCGAGCTGTCAGCACAGAGCCCCACATGGGTCTCGAGCCCACAAACCATGAAACCATGACCTGAGCCGAAGTTAGATGCTTAACCGACTGAGCCACCCAGGTGCCCCTGATGTGCAGAATTTTTTAAGACTGATGCAGTTCCATTTTGCCATGTTTGCTCTCACTGCCTGTGCTTTTGGTGTCCTATCCAAGACATCATTACAAAATCCAACGTCATAAACGTTTACCATGTTTTCTTCTAAGAATTTTCTACTTAGGTCTTTAATTTTGAGTTGATCTTTGTATGTAAGATAAGGGTGTGACTTCATTCTTTTGCATGTGGATAGCCCGTATTCCCGATTTGGTGGAAATTTGTTGAAGAGACCGCCATTTCCCTAATGAATGCATCTTGTTGAAGATCATTCGGTCCTATGTGTGAGGGTTTATTTCTGTGCTTTCTGTTCTGTTCCATTGGTCTGTATGGCGCTACCACATTGCTTCGACTGTTATAACTTTATGTTTTCAAATCAAGAAGTGCAAAACCTCCAACTTTTATTTTTCCTTTTCAGTATTTTTTTTTAATTTTAATTTTTTGATTTTTAATTATGTATTTTTTTTTTAACGTTTATTTATTTTTGAGACAGAAAGAGGCAGAGCATGAACAGGGGAGGGGCAGAGAGAGAGGGAGACACAGAATCCGGAACAGGCTCCAGGCTCCGAGCTGTCAGCACAGAGCCCGACGCGGGGCTCGAACTCACGGACCGTGAGGTCATGATCTGAGCCAAAGTCGGACGCTTAACCAACCGAGCCACCCAGGCTCCCCTAATTTTAATTTTTTTTAAAACAATTTATTGTTGAGAGAGAGAGAGACAGAGCACGAGCAGGGTAGGGAGGGGCAGAGAGAGACGGAAACACAGAATCCAAAGCAGGTTCCAGGCTCCCAGCTGTCAGCACACAGCCTGATGCGGGGCTCGAACTCGTGAACCCAACATCATGACCTGAGCCAAAGTCCAACACAGCTGACTGAGTCACCCAGGCGTCCTTTCCTTTTCAGTATTTTTATGGCTATTCAGAGTCCTTGAGAGTCTAGGTAAATTTTAGGATGGATTTCTGTATTTATGCAAAAAATATTAGTAGGATTTTGGTATCGATTGCTTAGAATCTGCATATTGCTTTGGGTAGTGTGGACATTTTAACAATATCAGATTTTCTACTTCATGACATGGGATGTTTGTCATATTATTTGTGTCTTTACTTTTTTTCAGCAGTGATTTATAGTTTCAGTGTACAAGTCTTTCACTGTCTTAAAAAATGTATTCTTTTTTGATGTATTATAAAGGGAATTGTTTTGAATTTCTTTTCAGATTGTTCACAGTGACTGTATAGAAATGCAACTGATTTTTGCATGTTGACTTTCGTCTCCTGTCATGTTGTTGAATGTGTTTATTAGCTCTAACGGTTTTGTGTGTGTGTTTGGAATCTTTAGGTTTTTTTTTACAAAGAAGATCATGCCATCTGTGAACAAAGATAACTTGCTTTTTCCTTTACAATTTGGATGCCTCTTGTTTCTTTTTCTTGCCTAATTGCTCTGGCTAGGACTTCTAGTACTATGCATAGAAGTGACAAGAGAAAGCATCATTATCTTGTTCCTGATCTCAGAGGAAGAGCTTTCAACCTTTTTTTAATTAAGTATGATGTTAGCTGTGAGCTTTCTTATAAGGTCTTTGTTATGTTGAGGTAGTTTTAGTTTTATCGTACCTAGTTTTCTTTTTCCCAGTTTGAGTTGTTTATATGATGGAAAGGTATTGAGTTTTGTCAGATGCATTTTCCATACCGATTTATATGGCTTTTGTCCTTCATTTTGCCAATATGGTGTATCACATCGATTTTTGTGTGTTGAACCCCCTTATACTCCAGGAATAAGCTCCACTTGGTCATAGTGTATAATCCTTTTAATATGCTGCTGAAATCAGTTTGCTAGTATTTTGTTGAGTATTTCTGCATCAGTATTCATTACAGATATCAGTATATAATTTTCTTGTAGTGTTTTTGCTTGGTTTTCCTGTGAGGGTAATGTTGGTCTCATAGAATGAGCGTATGTATCCTCCTCTTCCAGTTTTTGGAGGAGTTTGAGGAGTATTGGTGTTAATTTCTCCTTA